GGATGGTTCCTGTAGCTTTGTGCACTTGCTGTGTAATGACCCCTTGTTTCTTCCTTTTTGGTGCTTCAAGCCATCCCATATCTTTCATTTGAAGAAATGATTTTTTCCACTGTATAATAAAACAGTAAATGTCCTTCAAACTGCAGCATAAGTGACGTATGTACGTCGTCAATTAGTCATGCTTAGGAACGTCAATCAGTCACCAAAAGGAAGTGTAACTTCCGTCATTCGTAGGAAGTCTAGCTTCCGCCGCGCCGTGCGCGCAGATTCTGGCTTCGCGCGCAGTCAGTAGAGCGCGCGCACGTGCGGCCTCAATCGGACATTGGCGCGACTAGCGAGGCAAAATATGCGCGTGCGCATTCCTAGTATAGAAATTATTCATGGAGATTCGAGCAGCCCCAAATGAAAAGCACTAAAGTGCAAACCCTCGGTGAACTGCGCTTGCGCGGTACCGCTAATTGATGGGCGTGGCTATTTGTAGTATGCGTTTACTCGTGGTCTCTCGCTAGAGTAGTCTGACACGGGCTAGCCACTGTAGTAGATGGCATGCGGGAGTCGATACACGCCTTTCGTTGTGACATCTTGTGCCTCCAAGGTATGGCTTGTTCACTTGGTTTTCATGCCATGCAACTTCTGACGCGGCACTTTTACAAAAATCGCCATTTTTAAAATGAAGCGGGTGTAGCGCTGAACCCGTTGGTGTCGCTATTTTACCTGTTTGTCGCGCGTGGTGGCAGAAAACGTGGACGGACGGTATATATACGGACAGACCAAGTACGGTAACCCTCGATGCGCATGCGCGCCGAGGGTTAATTATGCCCGGCAAATTTCCGCACCCCTAGCTAGCTAGCTAGAGCTAGCTAGCAGCACAGCGGTAGACGGCACTGTATGTACTTGGAACCGTTGCTCAAATGCTACTAGTCACTGATGCAGCTATGGCGGCTATAGTATCGCGGAGCCAGCCCTCTCCTTCTCCGGGCTGGCTATATATGCGCGACTAACCAATGGCGCGGCCGCCCGGCTGAAGCCGGCTCCCGCCACACCCCCGGCCCCACCCCCACTCCCCGCCCATGCGACAGCGAGGGGACCTTATGTGGGCTGGGCTGTATACCGACGCGACGCGGGTAATGAGCGTGGATGGAAGAAGCGTCTGGATCTGGGTCTGCTGGGTCATCGTGTAAGATCCAGCGGATCTTCGTGATGAGGCACGGGGAACGAGAAGACTCGCGGAACCCCCTGTGGAAGAGGACGGCGGTCCGGCCGTAGCCGACACCCGGCCCATCACTAAACGAGGAGAGGCAGAGGCGCGTCGCCTCTCGAGCAAGCGGCTTTCAGGCAGGCAAGAAAGGACGGAGTTGAGTGTGCGTCATATAGCTATTATAGTTCTGTTACAAATGTGGCCAGAACACGAAATGACTTTCCTTGCCCTGTGTTTCCTTGTTCATGTGGAGAAATGAAGCAGCGAGCTATGAAGCTAGCTAGCTAACATAGACAAGTCCTGCAGCACTGGGTATATACTCCCTGCATGGTCAATTTCCACCACCTAGGTTGACAGTTAGATCACATACATTAACTTCTCTTTATAACTGGTTTTAGAATATACGCATCATCTACTCGTCGCCGTTCCTTCGCTGTCCTTCCAAGACGGCAATGCAGTCATCATTAGCTCTTGATATTGAAGTGACTGCATCTCTCTAAGTACCTGAGTGAGATTCTTCGACCACCCAGTGTGGAATGACTGGTATTCCAGATGTGCCTTGATGACATTGCCTCGTATAGCATCTCATTACACAGCCAGATAGCAGGGACTTCCCTGCTTACCCAGAAAAGGCAGCAGAGCTATCCTGAGGTGAGTGTTTGACTATTGTTTCAGTACTCTGTTACAAATTTGGCCGTGTATACGGGGGTGAATGATCTCAAACTTTTCCTGTGTGGGCGTTTGGTTTCCTATATATTTGTGGATGACAAAGTTTGGATAGTTCGGCTTTCTGGACTCAAGTTAGTATGGGTTTATATTGCCCCCCACCTGATACAGCCCACACAGACTACTAGCCTAGTATATGCCCTAGTACATGACCACCAGTTGCAGGACCAGCCGAGCCATACTAGTCACTAGGGGTGATCCTATTATATACGCTGTGCTTAGAGAAGTTTTCCCGCTTCGTAAAGCTGTAGTATGCAACACAACCGAGTGTTTGGGAAACAGAGTCCAAGTTACTCAAAAGCCGCTTGTTATGTCCAATGCTCAGTATAAGAAGGAGTTCAAGAGGGTGCAGATACCCACTGGCCAGCCAACCTGCTCCTAGTGACTCATGAGTACGGAGTGTCTGGCTGGCCTGGAGCTGGGGGGAACCACAGAGCCCATGGAGGCCACCTACTGCAGCTGTGTAGAGCTGGTCCGGACAGACAGCAAGACACACAACTGGACCATCGGACAATGTCATGGGGTTTACAAATACGATACTATTATTGATTGACATGCAGCTTTATAAATGGCAACTCAAAAACACAATAATTATTATACTGTGCGAGGAAAACATTGAACAAGCGGTTTACTACAATGTGTGTGGGTCAAACAAATTGAGTGGAAAGTGGATGAGTTTTGGTGTCATGCCACCTTCTGCTTACATTACACAAGCAGTGTGACATCACAGCAGTGGGCGTCTGTATGGGCAGTGGACCTCCATCAGTAGATGCATCAGGTGCTGCTGCTCCTCATCCAGATGGCTCCTACGATGACAACTCTGTTGAACATCTCACTTGTAGAGTTGTGCATTATTCAGTGTCTCACCAAAGGCTTGCCCTGACAGCTTCTATCTCTTTGTAGTCCTTTCTTCTGGATGCATTCTGGAAAAGTTAAAGTGCAAACCCTTGGTGGACTAGAAATGTATTAGAACTTATACACATGCGCAGTACCGCTAAATGAGAGGCTTGGCTATCCCTTGTCAATTTACTCTCTTGCTAGTATATACTTTAACTTTCACTGTGTATGTGCCCCGAGGGGTAAATGGGAGCACTTGAGAGTGGATAATCTTCATCACTATAGTCAACATTACACACATACTCATTCTGGTGCTACATTATTACAAAAGCAGAATGGACATAGGCCAATTTCAATTTTTGTGTATCAAAAATGGTTAATGGACAGTCCAAAAGAGTTATTGAGGCTTCTTACATATGCAAAAAATACTGGCGAAAAAAGAAAACTAATGGATTTTTTAAGGCATAAAATCTAAGGTTGAAAAAATGGTAATGACCAATCCGAAAGAGATTATTGTTGAGAGGCTTCTTACATATGCAAAAAAAAATACTGGGCACGCATTAAAAATATATAAAGGTAGAAAAAATTTGGGCCAGCCCCAGACAGAGGTCTATGGACGCAGTGCAATGCCAAACTATACGCTGCCCTTATGGGTCAATGGTAGATTCGTGGTAAGGGGAGGAACAGAGCTGTTCCCAGCCAATGCTCTGGACCACCTGTCAGTTCATTGTGCTGGTCCGGGATTCGAACCGGCACCTTCATGTGACAGTCTCCAAGTCTCTAACCACTTAGCCACTTGGGCTGGCCAGAGAGCTGATGAAAAACGTTCCACTTATATCACCACTCATATTGCACATATAATAAAAAACACCCCAGACTGGGATCGAACTGCTTGACGATCTACAGTGTGAGTCCTTATCCCCAGACTACACCCAATACTTGATGGGGTTAATACTGCATAGCAATTTGATATACAGGACTTAGTCACTAGAGTGCAAACTCTCAGCTAATTGATGGCTGGGCTATTTTACTATACTCATGGTCTCTGCTGCTTAGAATCTGTCATGGCTGGCTACACTACTAGATCGAGTCGATACTTGCCCCGTTGCAGTTCTTTTCTGGAGCCTCCTATATAGGGTACGCAGAGCAAGCAAATCAGATCGAGTAAGTCTGTGTGACTTGGTTTTCACTTCATAACTCTCAAACGCAGTACTTTAACGAAATTCGCCAAATTTAAAATAAACCCAGTATAGAACTGAAGCTGTTTATTGATCTCAACGCTCTTCTGAGGGACTCCATAGTATATATAGCATGACCGAAGTCAACGCCCTTTCTCCTCAATTTGTCAAAGAAGCTTTTGGTATCGCTCTTGTGTTTTGTCTTATTGTGCGTGGTAGCAGAAACGTGGTAAAGACAACAGACTCACACGTGAACCAAGTACAGCAACCCTCACTGCGAATGTTTGCCGAGGTTGCCAATAATGTTGCTCTTTTGCTTTCATGAACAAGGTGGGTGGAGTAACTTAGTAAGCCAACCACAAAGTTGCCTTTGTTTTTATCCGTTGTACACGAGTGAAGCTAGCCTACTTAGTCATCTGAATGGGAGATTTTCTCCATTTCACTGGGGCTGTCGCAAATTCACCATTCGTATCGAAATTCGCAATCCTGGGCACGCATTAAAAATATATAAAGGTAAAAAATTTGGGCCAGCCCCAGACGAGGTCTATGGACGCAGTGCAATGCCAAACTATACGCTGCCTATGGGTCAATGGTAGATTCGTGGGTAAGGGAGTAACCAGAGCTGTTTGTCCCAGCCAATGCTCTGGACCACCTGTCAGTTTTCAGTGCCTGGTCCGGGATTCGTACGAACCGGGCACCTATGTGACAGCTCCAGTCTCTAACCACTTAGCCACTTGGGCTGGCCCGAAGCTGATGAAAACGTTCCACTTATATCAACACTCATATTGCATCATTATAATAAAAAAACACCCAGACTGGTATCGAGACTGCTGACGATCTACATGTGAGTCCTTATCCACCAGACTACACCCATACTTGATGGGGTTAATACTGCATATGCAATTTGATTACACAGTGACTTAGTCACTAGAAGTGCAAACTCTCAGCTAATTGTATGGCTGGGCTATTTACTATACTCATGGTCTTCTTAGCAATGCTTAGAATCTGTACATGGGCTTGCTAACACTACTACTAGATCGTGCGATACTGCCCTGCGTTGCACTTCTGGAGCGTCCTATTTAGTACGCAGAGCATGCAATCAGATCGAGTAAGTCTGTTTGACTTGGTTTCCGTCTATACTCTCAACGCAGTACTTTTAACGAAATTCGCCAAATTAAAATACACCCAGTATAGTAACTGAAGCTGTTATTTGAGAAATCTCAACGCTCTTCTGAGGACGCCATAGTATATATAGCATGACCGAAATCACGCCACTTTCTCTCCTCATTTGTCAAAGAAGTTTTAGTATCGCGCTTTGGGTTTGGTCTTATTGTGCGTGTAGCAGAAAACGTGGTAAAAGACGACAGACCACATCTGACCAGTACAGCACCCTCACTGCGATGTGTGGCCGAGGGTTGATATAATGTTTGCTGCTTTCATGAACAAGTGGGTGGAGTGACTTATAAGCACCACAAAGTTGCCTTTGTTTTTTATACCGTTGTACACGAGTGAAGCTAGCCTACTTAGTCATCTGAGATTTCTCTCCATCTCACTGGGGCTGGTCGCAAATTCACCATTCGTATCGAATTCGCAATCCTGTATATATGCCACATGCTGTGACTCTCTCGTTCTTCAATGTGTCATTACTGGATATGCTCGGTTCTTCGCTTGCATTAGCTCTGACTTCATCTCTGTCTATATAGCTCACATGATCATGAGACTTACGCATTGTGCAGATCGTGCACAAGGACATGATTATAGCAAGTTATAATAAGCCTGTTCCACTCGCCCATAGAATGCTAGGCATTTCCACCCATTAACTAAAGTGCACGCCTCGCAAATGGTCGCTGGGCCTATTTATTAGTATACGTTTACTCGCTAGTAGCTCGCAGAGAGTCTGACAACGTGCTAGCTACAGTAGTGGGTAGCATGCAGAGTCGTATACACGGCCTTAGTTGTGACTTCTTGTGCCTCCAGAGCAAGCGGACCGGTCGAGGTAAGCTCGTGCTAATTACCATATTGGCTTGTTCACTTGGTTTTCACGCCATAACTTAGAACACAGTAGTTTTACGAAAATCACCTTTTAAAAATGAAGCCAGTGTAGCACTGAACCCATTACTATCGCTCTTTGTTGCCGATTCTTGCGCGTGTGGCAGAAAACGTGGTACAAGCAGACAGACTTACTGACCACTTACGGAACAACTACCGTACCCCTCGCTGCGCATGCGCGCCGAGGGTTAACTACCAAACCAAACGCACATGATTGATTGAAGCAGTATGTATCTATTGAGACTGTGATCAGTTTCTGTGGGGAGAGAATCAGGTGAGGTTGAGCTCCTCGCACAATCATGCAAGTAGCTAGCTATATACTTTGTACTCCATGTCGATAATACTTTGGCGTAAGACTCAATGATCATGGAGTGCTCTGTCTTATAGTGTCTCTCAGAATCTAGTGTGGTTCAAATCCATGGTCACACATGGGACATTAAAGGGAATGTGTCAGTACACTACGGGCTATATCTAGAAATGTTACTAAAGAAGAACAAAAACAATAGGGGACGTGAAATGCAATCAAGATCCATTTTTTAGTATAGCCCTTATTATAATATACGCCCATTCCCTTTAATGACAAGGGTTCTACTCATACCTGATCATGAGAAGTAGCAGCAAAATGCAACACTTCACATCTCTTCCTAAGAACTAGGTAGGGACCTATACATGTGCACACAACAGTAGATGATGACACAGCTGGTAGCATAATAGCTACCTTCTTTCCCTTTGTCTCTGAGAATCTCCTGGTGTACACATTCATTGGCACCATCATACCTCCTGTTGTGAGAATTAAAAAACTGTTAGTTTCTTTTACTCTTGCAATCCACGCCTTAGATATCCCTCACGTACGTAGTCTGAGCTTGCACGATGCAATCTTTCCAGAGTTCGCAGTTGGCACTCTGGTTCTCTAAAAACAACAGCATCATCATGGAATCATGTTTGCTTCTAAGTGCACACGCCTTATACTTTAATGCTAGGAGCACTTACATTGACTTGCAGATCATGCCCTGGAAAAACCTAGAAGCTTCCGTGAAGCCTCTCGAATGCTACATCAAAAAGGAGTTCAACATCAAAGGCATCATTACTCCTCACATTATACTGTGTACCACTAGTTTCCAGCTAATTCCAACAGAACATGGCTGCCATTACACCATCTCCTTTCTCTCATGAGCCTGTCAGAACAGAAACACACCAAACACTAGATAGAGCTGTACCACTGAACAGTGGAGATGTTCTCACGTCAATGGCCATGATAAAGCAGTGGACTCCAGCATCATGACTCTCCCTGTACGAGCATGCTGTGCACTGAACGCAGCTCTTCTGCCTGAAAACTGACGACCTGTTGGACACACATGAAATTATGAGCTCTCTGTGCCAAATGAATGACATTTGCATAGCTATATAGCTACTGACCAGCATTGGCCCATGCTTCAGCTTCTCCTGATGAGTCTCCCATCAGACGGTCACACCTGTATAAATAAAAATCCAGACAGGTGCACACACATACACGTACATATAATTTGTGGCAGTAACAGCCATAAGGAAATTTCACTGAGGTTATGTATGGGAGAATACATGGTAGTCTTTAGCAGCACATTTTTGAACTTCAGTAGTAAACTCAAGCCATTATACAAGTTACAAGAACTTACTTGGCCATGGCCTGGAAGCACATGGAAGAATAGTGGGGGTTGTCCTCATTCTTGAGTCTATTAGCAAGTTTACCTGCTCAGTGATACACAGTGAGCTGACAGCAGATGAGAGTAAGAACTGAATGGATAACTTACCATAATCTTCACTCGCTTCCTTGACATTTGGCTTTTTCATGAAGCGCCTAAGAACAGTTTATGATAGTATGTGCTGACAAGGCCACAACACAAACACTGAAATAATGTTAATCATTGGTGTGGGACTGGCTAGCGAGACTATTTTCATGAGACAAAATGGAGGCCAAATAATAACGTTTGCTTGTGGCAGTGGAACTCATAGTAGCGTCCACAGTATTATACTTGCCCGAGAGGCCTGCTCGCCAGCCGGTTAGCGGTGGGATAAACATCACATTAGCCTTAGCTACGTACTTTCTTAACTGGCAGAGATGGCCCGATAATGAGCGAACAACTCTTGTCCTCTTGGGTCCAAGTGATCCATGGCGCGCACTAGCTATAGTGTCTCGCTCTTCGACTGGACCACGCCTTCCGCGCATGCGCATTTAATTTTCGGCAACATACTATATCGATAACTAACTGTGACAATAATAATGAGAAATTAACAATGTCAAACTATCTGAAGGCAATGCATTCTTCAACAATGTCCAGTGCCTGTGTCCCAAAGCCTCCACCAACTACAATTACTCTGTCAGGAGGGAAACTTGCAACAGAGCACCTCCACCGGCAACTGGCCATGGATCCAATCTCAACCCAACACTGGTCCAGTAGCTGGTAGATAGAGCCAACTGGTGCCCCACCTCGCTCCCCACCAAATGATACAAGTTGTCCACAGAGAATGGCAACTGCACTGTCCCTCACTGGTAGACATGGGAGTTGTTTCCACGTTAGGGTGTCCTTTAGTGCCTGATGTAAAATGGGCTTTTGTTGTTGAAGGGAGCATGAAAAACTTTGTCCATTGCTTCCTATAACACTCAGTTCATTACTGCACATTAGAGCTGAAGGAAAGGGGAGTGGTTTTGGGAGTGGTTTTAGGTTATACCATCTACAAGTGCTGATTTGGAGGAGTTTGACTAACGTTGTTTTGTAGCTTAGCTCAGCATACCCCCCAATAACGACAACTAAATCGCCACCTGGCACGCTGACTACAGCAGGAGAAGAACAGGCCGTGTCCATGGGAGGGTATTCTTTGAACCACTGCCTCTTCACTAGCGTGAATAGCTGGTTCGTACAATAGGAACCATCTCTTCCTCCAACTGCTGTCAAACTACCGTTGATGACCACTAGTCCTGAGTTTTGGTACGGACATTGAAGAAGCCTCCTCCATTTCTCTGTGCTCCATTCATATCGGTAGAGCGAGGTGGAATCAACTGGTGTGAAGTATGCAAATTGGTCATCACTGGTGGCAGATCCCCTGTACAATTTTCGTGGTCCTCTTTCCTTAAAATGGCAATGTACAATGAGCTGTAGTGGAAAATAATCACTATCACTCGAAGTGTCTTATGAATAGTATGTGAGGCTAAATTGCAGCTGTCTACTCGTACCTAGAGAGCATCACTGTACTATAATGGCATCTACATACAGACAGTAGGGATGAGATGACTAGGTGGGTTCGACCAGCTCGCCAATAATATTATACTTCACTTAGATACACAAGTGCAAAGATCAGATTTCAGCTCACATTCTTCCTATAGCTACCATAGTTACCTTATCATCCTTCTGAAGAGCTCCACTCTGTGATGTAGAATTTGCAATGGGCTGCCTTTCAACATCTTTACCACACCTGTATAATACCAGTCTAATAAGACAAACTGATTTAATTATCCATCAACCTACACAAGGGAATTTATTTTGGTGTTTATCAGTGGAGCATACTTCATTGCACAAAACTGGACGTGTGAGTCAAAGGTAGACACATCTCCTTGCCACGTGCACCCTCTCTCCTCATGTCGGCAGAGTACACAGAGTGAGTTGACCTGACGCTGAAAGTGTTTGTTCAGCATTGTGCTCCAAACCTTCACGTTGCATAGTGGACACGCCCCATTCTTTCCCTTTATCCTCGTGGCAGCTTCCTGTGAGAGGTGTTTGCCACAGCATGATGTGAGGTGAGGCTGAAGCAACAGATCAGCTGTCACTGGACAAAAGAAATCCTCCGATGGTTGCTCCAGAAAAGGATAATCCGCTAACTGCCATATTACAGAGGAGGGGATGACCTACAGAATATAGTGTCATAGAGTGTGACAAATAGCTAGTCCATAAAATGCACAAACACACTTCTTGGTGAAGAGGTGCTTGAAGGACACAGCTTCCATCACAGTCAACCCTAGTGATGCTGAACTCTTTGTACACGTTCAGAGCTCTATTCTTTTTCACAAGCTTGACAACAGCAGTTGGTATAAACAGTACAAATGAATTTGTCCCTATCCAATTCACCAAAATGACACAAGTATGAAGGCCATAGTGCTGTGCATAACATTGTTTGAACGTTTCTATGCATTCTATCGTTGCTGTTTCAGGCCATTCAAACTGGACAACCACCTTTCTGAACCCTGGAGGAGGATCGCTTTCCACCGTCTTAAGCTTAACTTCACTAAATGATTTTAATGTGACATTCTTCTTAAACTCCGTTAAATCACTTTCATACTGAGCCACTCTCTCCAATAGGTCCTTGAACCATGACGTGTGTTTTGTTGTTAGCTCGCGCACAATGTGGACAAAGAGATCGCACATGAGGTAGCTGCAGTAGAAATTGAGTGCACCAAACAGCTCCTGGTGGTGCTGACACTCGTATAGAGCTGCCTGATTCTCTCCGCTGAACACTTGCTGATCTCTGACTGAGTGAAGTGTACTGAGTATAGACAGTACTGCCATGACAGTGATGTGGCATTTTCCCAGGCCCTGGACTGTATGCTCTCTGAGAGTTTTGAACCTTTCTTGGAAAACCTGGATTCTAGTCGTCATATTTTCGTCAGCAAAACCTGCTGAACAATGGCAATAGTAACACTATATTATTATGATGCCTTGTAGCCTATACATACATGACAGTAGCTAAGGCTTAGCTAATTGGGTGGAATTTGAAAATACAATTTTCATTATTGACAGTAAATAGAATCATGCAGTATGGTTTCACTCGGTAGCCATATTATTATAGATGGATAATGAGTAGGTCAAATATCTTTTGTTTACTTGGTAGCTATTTTAATTAAAGGTCTATGGTAGTGTGTAGTACAGAACGAAGTATTGAGTCTTGCCTGGTTCGTGACCACACCATCAAGTTGTAGCTATCACTAGGCTAGCGGCTAGCTACCAACCTGATTCCACGGCAATCCCTGATGTATGGGTTGACTTATCATCATCATAACAAGGTCCCGCTTTTTGAACATCTAGCTCTAAAAATTGAGTGTTATGAAGGTTAAATGTGAATAACAGTCAAAATTCTCACCAATGCTATCTGGTTCAATTATACGTGTTGCTGCTGGGTCAGGGAAATGAGCAGTCTCCACGACATCAGCGAGCTCATACAGTCCAACAGCAGAACTCTTGAGAGCATTTACAATTACCCTCCATGTAGGCCTTGGCTCGGTTTGCTTTGTGAACTCTAACAGAACTTGAAGGAGGCATTCTCGCGGTTCTGTGTACTTGGAATGAATGAAGTCCAACACGTCTGTAGGTAAACCGAGCTTCAGACCAAACACGTAGGACTGGCTCTGTGCTGGTAGAAGTTCCTCCTGAATGTCGTTCACATCTTCTGGAGTTAGTGTTGCATCGGCTGCAGGAGCTGCGTTTAGGGAAAATGATGTTTGCACAGAACTACCAAGAAATATACACAAACCTGTAGCCATCATGCGGCTCTAGATAGATGATAGGAGACGATAAAATCGTGGAAAACTGCTGCCGAATGAGCACTTCCCAAATTCCTCTCGTTAACAAAGGTCTGCGCATTGTGTCAGCAGGCGCGCGCGCAGGGCTAGCTCCGCGCGCGTTTGTCCGCAGGGAGAAGTTTGCCTTCCTGCTGGATAGTTCAGTCCTCGCCACTACTTCACTGCAAGTAAATCAAATTCATCGTGAGATAATACGTCTTGGTGTGAATCATAATCTGCGTGGGAGGTGGCTCAGTGCGCGGGCTGGGCGAGTGTGTAAACATGGCAGACGACGATTCTCCTCCGCCTCCTCCCAGCAGCCCACCGCCTTCTTTTACAGAGAATGGCGACACTGTGCAAGATACCAAGCCCAGTTTCAAGTCTCTTCGGCAAATGTTGGCCAAAAGCCACACTATGTACACCTCCAACCGGCCAGCCCCGCCCCCCAAACCTATCCGCCCCGTGACGCCAGAGCACGAGAAAGACGAGAGCCCGAAACTGGAGCATCGAACGAGGGAGCGACCACGTAGGAAGATCAGAGCACCCTCTAGAGCCGCTCTTCGAGAAAGGGCGTCCTCTACCTCCATTGATGTCTTTGGAACAGTGCCTGTGCAGGCGGTGCGTGGAGCCCCTCCTGCCGCTGCTAACACTCTGTCGGTGCAGACTGACGCTCCTTCTCCACCTTCCCCTGCCTCACCTCCTCACTCTCCTCCCCACTCCCCACCGCCATCTCCTCCCCCCTCTCCCCCTACATCGTCACTTCCCTCCAATTTCCCTTCTCCTCCCCAACCTTCTTCGTCCACTCTCCAACAGTCAGACACTCGTGTTGACTTTCTCTCAAGTAAACCTGTGGACACGTCTACAGTCAGGATGCAGGATAGATCTACAGCTTCAAGAGACAGTCTTAAGCAGGACATTAAACTGAATGAAACTGCAAAAGACACCAGTGCATCAAAGCAATCGTCAAGAGCGCAGTCAAAGTCTGCACCGACACAGCACCAGCCATTAATATCAGTGGTACCGTTCAAAGGAACTGACAATTCTCCCTCAGCAGGAGTCCAGTCTTCAACAGCAGCTTTCACAAACAGACTGAAGCAAATTCGTGAAAGAAGAGCGGCTAGGAAATCCCCATCACCATCAGCTCTGTCTCCCATGCATTCTTCATCCTCTCTTCCCCAGTACATGGGACCACTGCTAGAGTCAGCCACAGAAATCCACTCCAGCCTGCCTGTCAGCTCGATGAGTGCATCTCCAGTCACCTCTCATGCCAGTCTCGACAGCTCAATACAGCGAGAGGGCAGCACTGATCCACACAGTGACAGATGGAGCCCTAGTCTGCAAGAAATTTCCTGCAGAGGGAGACGTAAAAAGCCGGAGAAGCTGATAATGGATGCATCAAATCCTCCTTCTGTTACCCTTTCTCCCCCTCCCTCTCCTCCTCCTCCCCTACCCCCCTCTTTCCCTCCCATCACTTCTTCTTTCACTCCTTCTCTCTCTCAGTCAGTTCACTCGTCTCTCCCTCCCCCTGTTCCTCTATCTTTAAGTCCTTCCTATGAAAATTCTCTACCAGCAATACCACCGCCACTACCTTCACAAGAGACTTCCACCAGAGTAGTAGAAGGAAGCAGATGTTTGCCAGCAATCAAGAGTGGATTGGACCGCAATATGAGAGCACACAAGTCATCAGAATCACTATCAAGTTCATCTGACTCGGCCCCGGAACTTCCATCAGTTCCACCTCCGCTTGCACTGGAAACCACTGAAACTACACAACCTCTAACTGCAAACGAACCTGCACCTTCAATCTACCTAGATAGTCCACCCCTCCTACCTGATATAGCTGAAGGTGCCAGTATCACGTCCGACAGCTCTGCCCCTCCCTCCAGCATCTCCACTCCAAGAATGGCCAGTGGTCCTGTTCAGTTGAGGCGTCCCCAAAAACCTGTGGGGTACAGACCTGAGCGTCGCTCTGCATTTGTGGCCATGCTTATCTCAGAGTCCAGCAGTGAAGGCAAGAAGAGGCTGTCAGTTGCCGAGATGCGGGCACTGACACTGCAGGCTTCCCGACGACCTGATGCAGCCTCAGAGCCAGTCATGAAGAGATGGAGTGACACTATCAACATCTTCTCTAGTCTTTCCCCTGTGGAGAATGACAGATCCAAGTCCGCTCTGGCTACGCTCGGCATAGGTGAAAGAGGTCCAGTGGGTTTGGGTGCTAATGGAGCTCAAAACAAACACGACATTACCTTTCCCACAGAGAGTGGTAACAATTCTGCAGGAAGCAGTGGATGGCAAGACTCAGGAGACGCTTCCAATGGAGCCATTGAGAGATCCAACAAAGGTAATCAAATTCTAAGGAAAGAACAAGATATCCATTCAGTTTCTTTTGCAACAGGTGGTACAGAAGGTCTGACATCAACTGGGGAGCAAACTGTGGCCGGGTACAAAAACAGCCGACCAGTTGACGGAGTTAATCCAGCATCACCAGGGAATATGAAGGTAGTAAACAAAGCATTCCTATAAACTTTCAGTAAGTTTGGTCATTGCTTATCCAATGACTTTAGGAATCGAGACCCCCACATTATCACAAGGAACCTCCAATCGATCATCTTGGCTCTCGATGGGAGGTTCAAGATGAGCTGAAGAATGCAGGAGAACCAGCTCTTGCAGGCAGAGATGGAGAACCCGATATGCTAGAGCACTCATCAGACCAACTAGCCATCCCTACTACTGACTTCTACCACAGAGGAGGAGAGAGAGGGAGGGAAGAAGAAGGGGGTAAGGAAGAAACGGGAGAGAGGAAAGGAGAGGACGGGAGGGAGAGTGACAACGACACATGGGATGACTCTGATTATCTTGAGGTCTGCATACCAGCATAATATGCATTAGCTATATCACAGCATTTCATGCAGGATGACCCGAACACTTGGTCGGTGGATAGGGTATGTGAGTGGCTGGAGCTGGTTGGCTTGGGAACGTACAGAGACACATTCCGAGGTAACCAACTGGCACACGTGAATACTGTGTACCTGACTTGTGCGTGTGTCTCCCCCCAGTAAACAGTGTGGACGGAGTAACTTTGCTGAACATGGATGTCCACTTGTTTGGTAAGCACACCAGACTCTCTAGCCATGTGAGGTGACTCTGTCATCCATCCCGCATCCAGCTGAGCTTGGAGTTGACAGCCCTGAGATCAGAGAACTCTTCCTCGCAAAGATCTATGAGCTCAGCAATCCAACCAGGGACATGGATGACATGCAAGACGACTTTTGCCGTGAGTATAACGATCACTTTTGATAACCATGTGATGCATGAAGTTTTACAGATACCAATTCTGTTGTAGTGCTTTTACCTCATTCGTCTACAGCCATAAGTTATATAAGCCCTCATAAAGTCTGGCTTACACTATATATATAGCCATTTTTCCTTACCATTTGCACTAGTTGTAACCATACCATTACACATCTGTTTCCAGTGGAGGTGGATTCCTACACTGAGCAGGATTGGAAGAAGCTGGAGGCAGCTGTGGATGCTCTCAAGAGCCCTGTCCTGCGAGACGACATAGAGCTAGAGCCCTCAGCCATCGGCCTGTTCCTACACACCGACTACGTCCACTCTCGCTCCACTCCCAACATCCACCAGCTACAGCAGCTGGCCGAGACCCACTCTGACACAGAGCTATCCTCCACTGACAATCTTCTTCCTCCCGTTCCACATTCTTCAACTGTCCACTCGTTCCCGGACTACACCCCCACTAGTCAGGCAGTGTCCACCGACCAGGTGCGGAGGAAGAAGTCGCGGGCCCCCAGCACCCGCTCCGTCAAGAGACAGTACATCCTCTCCATGGCAGAGGTTGGGGACAGACCCAACAGGAGACAGTCGGCCAGTAACCACACCACCAGACCCAGCTCCTCTGTGTCCAGCAGACAGGGGAGCCCTTCACTGGGGAGTCGACACTCTGCTATTGAGCTCTCCACGTCTCCACCACACATGAAGGGGGATGTGACGTCCAAACTGGAGAAGGCAAAAAGAAAAGAAGGAGTAAGATGACGGAGGAAAGCAGCCAGAGCTCAGCATACGGTCCAATGACAGCCCAGCTGAGTAAGGACCTAGACCAAGGAGTCGTAGTGCACGAAGATGGAAAATATCAGAGAGTGAGACTTGGGTAAGTGTGACTGAGCCATTGATGACAACCCTGTATCAGATTTGATCTCTCACAGGAGTTATTTGAAGCAAACAGCAAGACGTGAAAGGAGCTCTTCAAAACCAAGCGCAGACAGCACCAGTGGACTTGTCAGGCTCTTCATGGAAAACGTTCAGGAAGGTAAATGCACATGTTAGTATTGACAAAAAAAACCATGTAGCTGTTTTTGTTCTCTGGAAGGGCTCCACTACAAGGCATTTCTGGCGACAGAGAGGACAAGTGCAGCTGAACTGGTGGATAAGGCCCTGGAGAGGAGTCACATCGTAGACAACCCTCTCCACTACTGCATCTGGCAGGTGGCCTCTGCTAACACAGGTGATGAGGGAGAGATATCTCATATGTAAGCAAGTTTCAGGAGCAAAGTAGTTAAAAGTGACTGTTTGTTTGTTGTGGTTTACTGTAGTTATGGCAATGGTGTAATACACATGCGTACCAATTATACCATTAGAATTGAAGAAGTAGTTTTAAAGAAAAGCGCCTGGAGCTATTTATTTTTGTTTACGAACATGTTGGGAAAATCATCATGTCATTGCAGAGTTGTGTCGAGAGCTGGCTGCCTCAGAGTGTCCACTGCCTCTGCAGCTGAACTGGCCACAGTCCAACAACTACCACTTTGAACTGAGGATCAAGGGAAATGCCCAAAGAGTTCAGGTATTATTGGCAAACATGCGCTTGTTTGCACTTGCCTAATTATACCCACCACCTTTCCAAACTGACAGCTTCTCCTGGACCTACCGCTGTGTCCCAGGACGGATGTGAGGCTGAGTCTCCCAACCTCTGCCAGCACAGCAGAGGCTGTTCAGTCCATACTGGCAGTGCTGGGTCTGGGTGAGACCTTCTCACAGCGAGGCATCCACTGTGCACTGATGGATGTCACCAGCAGAACCCGGGGTGAAGGCACACACTCAAACACACTGTTACTATAATACCTCTCTAATAATACTGTTACTACCTCTCTGTTGTCTAGCTGAGAGGGCACTGGCCGAGAAGGAATGTCCGGTGTCTCTACTGAATGCTGGACACAAGCTGAAACTAGTCTCCCTCTCTGTACAAAAGAGACACAGGTATAGCTGTAGCTGTTAGCTTATGAGTGTTGATGCATCTAAAAGACACGCATTACCCCTTCCCAGCTCTGGCCAGTCAGATGTTTCACTGCTGGCTAGACTACAGCGATTGGAGCAGGAGAAAGCAATGCTGACAGAGCAGTTGCAATCCGCCCAGTCTTTCATGAGATCCCACGTGGAGGGAGAGCAGACTAGAAGGCGATCTACCAGTGCCACAACTGGACCAGACCCTTCCACACAGGTTTTAAACTTCCGTACCTTCCTTAAGTAACAACATCTAATTATGGTTCTCTTCAGCAGGAAAAACAAACGCATCTTCATTCATCTGTGTAAGTAGCTTCATAGCTACAACCATTATTCATGAAATTATGCATGTGTGTGCAACCAATTATGCAGCGACAGAGGAGCAGGGGACGGGGCAGTGGGTGAGGGAGAAGAGGAAGTGGTAGAGAGGTTGAGAGGACTCAATGCAGCTCTAAACAACCAACTTCAGCAGCAGAGAGAGAACACGACAGAGCTGACTCGGGAGAAAGAGAGGTGTGTTAGCTTGATGTAAGCTCATGTATGGATGTGATGGTGACAAAACGCCGGCCATGACATTGCAATGTCCCCAGGTTGGAGAAGAATGTTTTTGAACTAACGAGCAGAGACAAGGTATGGCAAGTAATGGCGTGCTTCATCTAAATGATGCTGATGGAATAATTATAGTGTAATGTTGTGTGTAATGATATACTCATGGCAATCGTGTGTTTTTATCATTTTTGTTTGTTACAGGAGATGGTTTTAGAAATTGGAGTACTCAAAGCGACTATAACAGGACTAAAAGAGCAGGTTTGCTGAGCAAATGCTGGTCATTAATGTTATGTGTCCACTGATTTTCGTTCACACACAGCTGTCAGATTCTGAACGGTCCATGAAGCAGTTACAGCAATCAATTGACAGGAGTCAACCCCGCAACGATGTAGAGATGAGCTCGCTGCAAGAGAGCCTCAGACGTGCAAAGCAAGAGATCACCAGACTGCAAAACAGCAATCAGGAACAGGTCAAGTTTAAGTACTGCAGGTTTTCTGTAAGCTGTCAGAATTATTCTCCTGCCAGTATGACTGTGACATAGGTGTTAGCTAACCACGAGACATGCTTGTGGTTCACTGAACAGATATTTCTTTTGTCATTCACAAGGCAAAAGCATTAACGCACTAACTCCTTAGCTACTAGCTTAAGCACACAGCATGCCTTTAAACGAGCAGGAAATAATTCCACCTCGTTGCTTGTAAAGGCAGTGGGCATTTGTCAGCCATAACATGGCTCACAATGTGTGATCTTCTTCACAGGCAGTACAACTGGAGGCGGCAGAGCAGGAGAGGCTTAAGACAGTTCGCAGTGTGCGACAGTTTGTGGTGCAGTCAGGAGTGGGAGAGGATGAGCACTTAGAAGAAGGTGAAGAGCACACTCTTTGTAATCCATGTAGCAACTGTATCTCAATGGTGAACGTTGGTGTTCCATTCTACTTGTCTCACTTCAGATTCGAATTCGGCCAGTATGTACAGAGCCAGTCGGGCAGAGTTGGTGAAGGCATGCAGACATGCCAATAAAGAGTTGCATCAGCACAGACTCTACCTGGACCAGTTGCTGGCCATTGTAATAGAGAGACACCCTGAGGTCCTCACTATGGTCACCGAGGCGCAAAAAATGAGGTTGTTGTATATAGCTAAAACTGATAGCTAATAGTCACACTACGTATTGTTTGCAGGGACTTGCTTGACAGTGAGAGTTGGTGCTGATCGATCAATCGACACTTTTCATGCATGAAAAATCCATTCAGCTTAGTCAATTTTATATAGTGCCACTTAATGCATTGTACCCTAATTAATCTTGTGTAGATACATGGTGCGCGAAATGTTCTAAAATCGATCCATGAACAGTGTACAGTGGCTAAAAACGAAAGATTCAGCTATATTATATGAGAGGACAGTCATTTTATCTGAGATCACAGCACTTTGTATGGCTATTCACAGAGTGTTGCTTCAATTGTGGTAAGTTGTTCCCAGGCCAATCACATATAGGGGTGGTGTTTACCGCAGGCCTAGTCAGGAGAGTTAGTGACAGATTGACTCTGCTCAGCAAGTGAGCTTGGAGATGAGCCTTGCCTTTTCTGCTGAGTTGAAGGCGCAGAGCTAGCACAGCAGGTCACCTCCGGATCGAATTCATGGACGGGTATAACAGTCTCCGTGGGCGTGAATCCTCGCGTGAATCCGCATTTTCGGAAGCGCCAGAGTACGGGATGATGGCAGAATCTTCACTGGACCGCCACAGCGGCATCGTCGAGGGGGACGGTATCGGCGTGGAGAGCACCAACTCCCTCCACCGGACCTGGGACCCGACCCCCACCCCCGTGTCATCCTCGAGTCGGCACATGGCCTCGGACGAGAACCGGCCTCTCCTCTCCCGCCACGCCAGACAGATTGAGGAGAGGAGAAAAGGTGAGCGCCGGGAGAGACAGAGAGGGACGGGGGTTTCAATAGTGGAGAGAATACAAGTTCCCTTTGTTTCGATATACTACCCAGTGCACTGCTGATGATGTCATTCCTTGATGTTTGATGCTAAATCTCTGACTATACTGCTTACCCTTGTACACTTTACAGTACAGTATCCTAGTTCTAGGTACAGTTGTGCATCTTAGTGAATTACTGCTTGCAGTGAATATTTGACCTTTGTGTTGCTACCTTGACTACTCTGTATATGGAAAGTCACTCTGTACCACTGGATAAACTTACAAACTGTATCATACACACATCTTGCCTGCCAATGCAGGACCACTATCCAGTCCCACAGAGCAGATAGTAATGATAGTAGCTGCATGAGCAATCTGTATGGAACACAACAGCACAAATAGTCACCATTTGAGCCAGCACTCAGTGCGTAATTCAGAGTGAACTGTAGACATGTAGTTTGACAAAAGGATCCGTGTTGGTGTTTGTGAGTGGCTCCTACAGACATGTAAAGGTGGGTTGCTAATGTTCCGTCTCAAAAGGTCAGTACTTCTGGACAGGACTAGTGTATGCTCTGTTGCATGAGAACATTAGTGTCAGCTGTATGTCAATAATGTTGGTGTCCTAGTAGTGGGATGTGAGAAGTACCCACATAATCTGAAGGCCTTCATCAGCTTTAGGAGTCTGGACCCAGTGGGATGAGTGTGGGATAAGAGAGCAACGGTCAAGGATGGCAGCCATGACTGATATCTTCTCCTGGTCTTCCTGCCACCGGTTGGCATTCTGAGGTCCAAACATCTCCTCAGCTACATACAGTGCCTTCTTTCCTGCGTACTAGCTGGCAGGGTGCCCACTCTCCATCTCAGGATCTGGTGCTTAGCCCTGGACATCAGTTGGTTTTAGCTGTAGATGGAGGGACTCTGTTACAAATTTGATGGGCCACACTCATCTCTGGGTTTAAAAAGGCTGAAGCCTAGGCTCAGTGCAGGATGATGGGTTGAACATGAATAACATTAAGTCTTGTGGGGATGAATAATATTAGTTCTGTGGTCTTGAGTTACACTAGTGGGGAAAGCCAGTGGCAGAGCCGTGAACCACAGGTGTTGGCCTAATGAGATTCATACACACAAAACTGTCATGTGCTAACCCAGTCAATGGGGAATGGGCTCCCATATCCTGCCAGTGGAAGAAACAGGAGGAGCTATTCAGGCCATTGTGTAGGGTGGAGTTCAGTCTTGACGCTCAGCGTGCTCATCAGCACTTGTGGTTCTGAACTGGCTTCTTCTCTTGTATATATATATAATATAGATCTGAGGGATTAAGACTTATTACTCGTAATGTCCACATGTTGAGTGGGTGACATTAGGTAGAGCTACATCCCTGTGTTTTAGCCATAAAGATGTAATCTTCCACGAAGAGTGAGTATGGATATTGTGTATATTTCATCCCTGTGTTTTTAGCCTCCATGAAGAGTGAGTGTATAATTCATCCCTGTGTGTCCTCCCTCCAGCCAAGCAGAAGAAGCTGACGATGGTGTTTGGAGTGACCATACCCTGCATCCTGTCCATCTTCTCTGTGGTTCTCTTCCTCAGACTGGGTTTTGTCCTGGGACAGGTACGTACGTCACCACTCTGTGTACCACGCCTCCTCTTTCTTACTCTCCTGTTTTGCTTTCTGCTATTCTTCCCATGACCCAGTTTCCATGAAAAGAGTACAGAGTATAAGCACCTCTCTCCCCTTTAGAAAAATGCAACAGAGTGCATGTATTAATTAGAATCATGTAGGACTTCATGGTTAAAGGGTGGCAACCATTTTTTCGTACACGGGTAAACATGGGTGCACTGGTGTCCAAAGTGTTAGTCGGAGGAGCCCCTTACACCATTTTAGGACCCACCTTTGGACAGTTTGGTGTGTGAATTTGAGCAATGTATAGAATGTGATCACTCTGCATGATGGGTGTACATTTGAAAATGTGACCGGTAGGGGAACCCTTGTGATGGGTGTACATTTGCATTGTCAAGTGTGGAAGCATGATTTCAAGTAGGCTTGCTTCAATCATGTCCTCCTAACTAAGTGGAATGTGTAGCTGTTTGTGTGTCCCCCCCACCGCTATTGTAAGACTGTTTGTGTGTCCCCCCCACAGGCTGGGTTCATTCAGACGATGGTGATGGTGTTGGTGGGCTACGGTGTAGTGATCCTCACTGTCCTCTCCATCTCTGCCATTGCCACCAGCTCCACTTTGGAGGGAGGAGGCGTCTACTGTATCCTCACCCTACCCTCTCTATAGCTACATGTTACTACTTACATGTGTGAGGTAACCTTAAATGACTTGGCTCTCCCATAATTGGCGAGCTGGAGCGAGTCAACCTAGTCGTGTCAACGGGCGATTTTGATTCTTTCTTTCTATCTGACGATCCGATTGTCACACATACCGTAATGTTGTACGTGATTATAAATACCCAAACAGCCAGCAACCGTGTTGTGCGACGGTAGCTGCCAGGAGCACGGCCGAGGAGCGGAAAACGCACCTTTGTTCTCGTCACAAGGGAGCGGCAACTACCATAAGGCAGCGTCTCGCTTCAGAAACACCCGAGGAGCAGCCAACACGCCTATCTTGCACTGTACGGGCTTGGTGTGTAGTAACAAAGGCACCAAGCTATAATGCTCCCTGTGAAAGCTCACCAACAGCTGTATATCCGAGTTGGGTCACTCTTGCTCCCAAAAAAATGCTAAGCATTCATCTTGTAGTGTACCTATGACGTCAGTACAGCTGGTACTGGTGTGCTACCTGGCATTTCCTACTCATGTGATTGCTGTGCATGTGACATCCTGTGTTGTTTTAGTGCATGCACACAACTTTGGTATGTTGCTTTGTTAACAGCGTACATTACAAATTGTAATGAAAGTGCAAATTCTTTGGGCAATAGGGTGCATGTGTGCATTACTACTATACATTCTGCAGAAAACACTGCACAACTGTAGTCAAGCTGGACTGTGCAAATGTCAACTTTTTCTCGCTCACACTGGACTTGATACTCTTTCACACTCACATTCACTGGCTAACGCATTTGATTTTCTGGTCACTACACTTTGCCATAGTTGACATGGGGTTTCTACGGATGACTGCACTGGTTGATTGGAATATTTACATACTGTATGACTGTGTTTGCAGACGTGTGAGTGTGAATTAGGTTCCTCTACATGTATACTGCTATGTGAGGTTAGTTTTCATCATGGAAAGACCTTGACAAAGTTCTAATCCAGTCATGATCAGTCGTGCCCTGGGCCCAGAGTTTGGAGGATCAGTGGGTGTCATCTTCTTTGTTGCCAACATCTTTGCCTCTGCTGCAAACATCATTGGTCAGTTTTCGAAACCCAAAGGGCCTTGTATGGTATCTATATATGCTCCATTGAAGTGAATTAGAACCTAATAATTAACCCTGGTGGGGAGCCTGGGAACAAAGCTATAACGCCACCTTATCAAGTTATTTTGACATTTACAGTGTGTGCAATAGTTTTATGTCTCTTTCAGGGTTTGTGGAAGCTCTAGTGAACAACCTGGGCAAGGGAGGCTCCCTGCTTCATGGTGAGTGTATAGTCATTAGAGCAAATCATGTTCTGCCAAGACTGGAAGCTTTATGTGCACCTCACTGCCTGCTTCCTCTGTAAATATGACACAACACAAACTATGTCTGGGCACAGGGTGCAAAACTTAAGGGCTGGCATAGCGAACAACCTGACTCTGTAATTAATCTTCCTCCACAGGAAATGAGGGGATTCCATTGGGCTATTGGTATAATCTACTCTATGCCACTGGAGTACTGCTGTTCTGTCTCATTGTCTGTCTCGTTGGAGCTAGTGAGTTCCATTTCCTCTAAACGCATGCGCTGTACCACTACTTGATGGGCTGGGTTTAGTTTTAGCTGTTACTCGTGGTCTTTTGCCAGCTCGCGCGGAGTCTGATGCGGGGTAACTACACTACTAGATAGCATGCGAGAGGCGATACACGCCCTGCGTTGCATCTTCTGGTGCCTCCGAGGTACGCAGAGCACGCGGATCGATCAGACCGTGGTAAGCCATCCCGTCCGTTGTGTATTTGCATATTGGCTTTTTCGCGCTCTAGCTTTGCAACGGAGCAGCAACGGAGCAGTTTCAGAGAAAACCGTTCGAAATTTCTGACCTTCACTGCCCGTTAAGTGTAGGTCGTATCCTTTGTGAGACGAACAAACATTCGAGAAGTGAGATGTAGAGTAACGCACACAGACCCAACTACCGTACCCTCGCTGCGCATGCGCGTCGAGGGTAATTACACTGTCACCACAATGTAATTTGCCTCGTATTCGCTCCCACAAAAATGGGTTCCATTCGTTCTAGTACAGTATTATTTTAGTAACTGTGTGTCTGGTTGTGTAGGTCTGTTTGCCAAAACTACTCTCATCATATTCTGCTTCGTGATGCTCTCACTGTTCAGTGTGATGGTAAGCAGTCGTTTCCCTAAACCCCCTCACTCTAGCATACAAATTGAGTATGTTCTCAACAGTTTAGTTTTGGGTTCGAAGAGATGAAGGATGTTCCAGTCCCAGCTGAAAACAGTTTATTTCACAGAGATGGAGCAAATGTATGCGCCTACTGTTCTCTGATTGGTTCATTTGTAGTGGCCTGACTGGATTAACCCTCTGTTCTCGCAGCGGAATGTAACAGAGCTGAGCTACACCAGCTGGAAATGGGCAACTTTCCACAGTAACATAAATGTCAGTTTCCTTTCAAAAACTCTTCGTTCACAGAGTGCACGCATGCACACCTGTGCAGTTAATACCAAACTTTAACGTCAACTTCCACAGAACCACTACACACTGGACTACACAAATTTGGGCCAGACAATGAATTTCCAGCTAGTCTTTGCCATCATGTTCAATGGCTGCATTGGAATTATGGGTGAGGGATCACTTTTGATGATGGCTAATGGGAATATTCATAATTAATACTAGGTTTGGAAGTATGGCACACTTTGTAAGTATTAGCATGTAGGTGTACGTGAACGATCACATGCATGGTAAACAGTGCATGCAGAAGATACCGCATAGCATAAACAGCAAGATTTTAAAGCCGTGAGTATATGCAAACACCCAGTTAAATCTTAGAGGAAATACTTAAGCTAGAGTCATTACCTGGATACTTCCTCTAGTGTTTGACTAATGTGTACATGTCCTGTAATCATTGTCAACTAACTGTATGCATTATCCCTACTGATAACAGCTGGAGCCAACATCTCTGGAGATCTGAAGAACCCAAGTGTTGCCATTCCTCAGGGCACACTCCTGGCCTGTGCCATCACATTTGTCATCTACATCTTCCTCTGTAAGGCATGCCTTCACACAGCATACAGTACCATAGTCAGGGGCATACTGCAACGGAAAATGTGCCCACCATTCATATTTCCTACCACACCCAGTCTTGGTTATTAGAGATGATGCGTAGACTTTCCCTTTCCTTTCAACTGAGCCACAGGTTCTCGTGGCCCCTGCTCTCCTTCAATGCTTCCACTCACTATACAGATTCAGCATCCCTTTTGTGACTGTGTATTCTTTCCTTGAATGCAGTCACATTCTCTGCCTTCACCTGCACAACAGAGTTACTCCTCAACAACTACAACTATCTTCAGGTACAGGCATTCGTTACAGTCTCTATAAGAGCCTTGTTCAGTGTGTCTCTGAACCTCCAGTACATCAATGCCCTGCCATGGATGATCACCATTGGAGTGTTCTCTGTCACGCTGTCTGCAGCTCTCTCTAACCTCATCGGAGCCTCCAGAGTACTCCAGGCTCTGGCCAAAGATAGACTCTTCAGTCAGTGGATCTGTAGTGTGTTGTTTGTGTATGTTAGTGTTGATGTGTTGATTCTTTTGGCACTGGGTTCAATTTCTCGTGTATGCGATTCGTAGCTGCGTTCCATCTGAATCTGCGCCCACTAAAGTGGTGTGTGGAATTACGGAGCTATTACATACATGCAAGCTTTTAAAGTAGTGTGTTGTCCACAGAGTGTGTCAATCTAACCTCAAAGTGGATATGGAATACTATTTGCACATTCTTGCTGTCCATTCCATGATGAAATTAAGTGCAAACCCTCAGCGAACTGCACATGCGCAGTACCGCTACTTGATGGGCTGGTGTGCGTTTACTCGTGGTATCCTAGTAGCTCGCAGAGAGTCTGACACGGGCTAGCTACAGTAGTAGATAGCATGCGGGAGTCGACACACGCCCTTCGTTGTGACTTATTGTGCCTTCAAGATACACAGAGCGAGTGGACGCAGTCGAGGTAAACCTGTGCTAATTAGCATATTGGCTTGTTCACTTGGTTTTCACACCATAACTTTAGAACACAGTATTTTTATGAAAATCGTCTTAATATCAAGCCAGTGTAGCACTGAACCCGTTACTATCGCTCTTTGGCCGATTTCTTGCGCGTGGTGGCAGAAAACGTGGTAACAGACAGACAGACACACTCATGAACCAAGTACAGTAACCCGCGCCGAGTGTTAAAGATAGCAGACAAAACCATCTCCACCCATGGAATTTTAACCATCACCCCTTACCTATATGTTAATGTGCCAGGAT